CAACACAGTGATAGATTTGAATTTTAGGTTTAATTAATCCTTTCCTTTTCTGTCTTGGAATTTTGAATGTATGAATGCATTACATTTATATTGAAGCCCACTTCTGATATAATCTAGTTTTTAGCAAATATTATATTATCTTGCAAGTGGCCATTCACATGAGTATGCTTGTTTGTGCACATAGGCTCATTGAATTTAATCAGATTATGAAAGGATTCAAGAATACTATTTGAGCTACTTTGTAAGGCTGGGCTGAGAAGACAGTGATTACTATCTAGAAAGAAAGTAATCAAAAGAAATTGCAAAACTATTTTAAATTCATCCAATAATTTTTTTTGTGTTACAAATAAAAAATATTAGATGTTCAAAAACCATTTTAAATATATGCTGGCTTGTTACAATGTGTAACCTCTGTCTTCCATATCAAAAAATTATAGACTGTGTTGTTCAGCTCCAGAATGCCAAATATTTTTCTGGCAGTAAATGAACATAAACTTCCAACTTGAATAACAAATAGGTTAAAAATGAAAATCCCTAGTGTACAATCATACCCATGCAAATTGTCACATTTTTCATAGTAAGACAGCATCAAATTATTCACATCAGTCAGTCTGTGTTGTTTTTTAGCAGAATTTTTTTTTGCTCTTGGGAAATTTGCCTCTCTAAATCTTCACTTTCCTTCATGTTTTTTGTTCTGTATGTCTAGTTGTCCTAAGAGGACTCCCGTATAAACTGGCCTGAGGTTAAAAAACAGCTTTGTCGTACAAGTCTGGGGAAATTTTCACATAGGAAAGAATGCCACCATCATGGAATACAAATAGATGATCCTGTCAATCTCACATAGTTGCTCTTTTTTCATTACAGTAAAACATGAACAGCTTGAATCCCCCAATGTAAGTGTTGGGTAAGCTGGGCTTGGTGATAGCATAAAATACCTGGAGAGATTCTGGGGCATGTCATCAAGCAATCCCCTTGTAAGCACCTGCAGGATAACAAGAAGATCAGAAATAGCCAACTTGGAATTGTTGAGAGCAAGTCATGCTTAACTAATCCAGTTTACTTTGATGACAACACGATGGGATTTGTGAATTGGAGGAGAGCAATGGGTGTGATATACCTTGGCTTTAGCAAAGCGTTTGACACTGTCTCCTGAATACATTCTCATTAATAAACTGAGAACATACAGTGTGGGTGTCCTACTGGTTGGATCATTGTGCTCAAAGAATCATCAGTGTCAAGCTGGGAGGAGATGCCAAGTGGGGTTACTCAGGAGTCTAGTGCTGTTTAGTATCTTCATTAATGATCTGGCAGATGAAATCTAGGGCACACATAGTAAATTTGCAGTTCACACTAAGGTGAATACAGTGGCGGGTATTTTGGAGGACAGGTTGATATTTCAAAATGATCTTGATGAATTGGAGAAATGGTTCATAGTTAATTGAATGACATTCAGTAAGGACTAGTGCAGAGTTCTGCACATGCCTCAAATAATACAGGTGGAGAAGGGAAGTGATTAGTTAGGCTGTAGTACTGCAGAAAAGGATCCCAGGGCTATAGTGGACTGCGAGTTGAATGGGAGTCAGCAGTGTGCTGTCACTGGAAAAGAAATCACTAGCATACTGGGATATATTAACAGGAATGTTGCATGCAAGTCAAAGGATGTGATTTCTCCTCTCTGTTCAACTCAGGTGAAGCCTCACCCAGTGTACTATATCTGGTTTTGGGCACTGCACTTTGAGACAGACAGGCAAATTGGAAAGAGGCCATCACAGAAATCGAAACATGATTGGAAGTCTAGGAAACTTGATTTACAAGGGAAGATTGGAAGAACTGGAATTATTTAGTTCAGAGAAGGAAAGACATCTGATGTGCATTTGATAACCATCCTTAGACCTGTGATTCTCAACCAGGGTGCCTGGGCACCCTGTGGTACTACCAAATCCTTTGAAGGGTGCTGCAAGGTGGGAGTATAGATAAGTGAGGTATGAAGAGATAAGCAGATAAACCAGGCTCAGGCTTGTCCCTGCCTGGATAATACCCCTGTTTCATGTCCGTTTCTCCTCCCCCCCGCCCCATTGCCCAGCCTTTGTGTAAGGAGGTAAGCACTGTTATATAAAAAATTGTTTTTCAAATTGGGTGCAGTCCATTCGCAAAGGTTATGGGGGGGGGCGTTGACTTGAGTCCAAAAAGGTTGAGAACCTCTGGTTTAGCCATTGAAAGGTGGTTAGAAAGAGGATGGTGATTCTTCGTGGCCGCAGGGGACAGGAAAAGAAGTACGTAATAGTCTTTAAATTGCAGCAAGGGAGATTGAGGTTGAGCAAGGGTTGGAGTAGATTACTGCCTGATGTCCCTTCCAGATCCATTTTGTCTGTAATTCTAAAAGCCATTTATTTTAAAGTGACTGCACATTTTAAATATTGTGGAATCAAATCTAAAACATTGCTTTCAAATGTTTCTTGCTTATACAGCAGGTACTGTCCAACTCTCTCCTCTCCATCAGACTGGAGACTGCTGCCATGCCAAAGGTGATCTCAGTGTTTCTAGCGGTGCACAACTCAACATTCAATCAAATAAGTGGCTTTGCACTTAGCGGCGTTCTGTTCAGAATGCAGTGAAACTCTTGCATCCAGTTAGGTACAAAATAATTAAGGTTATTTTGCATTTAGATTTGACTGTACGTTTTCAAATAAGATTCGTTAACATCCTCGGTCTAAAGATCCTAAGGAAGCTCTCTTCTACTGTTCACAGTTGGTTAGGACTTTTGCTGTATATCTTATCTAAAAGATTGAACCTCTAACACAATGTCTGTCCATCAATGTTTGTATGCCTGGGGCATAAGAGCCTGAGGAGCAATACCAAAAACCACTGAGTGCCTTTTTTGTTCTTACAGGATACTTATATTAACTTCCAGCTCATCACTATCATTAGCATGCAGTCAATTTAACTAGAATTCAAGTTGAAGGTTTTGTGCGCCACATGTTGTTAGGGGTAGTAGGAGAACATGGTTTTTAACATTTGAAAAGCTTACTTTATTTACATTATTTACACTGCAGGCTGAGGAAAATGCTGGTGCGTGGCTGCTTTAGGTTAAAAAGGAATCAAAATTTGTGGAAGAGGGGATCTCTTAGACCAACTAAATATTTGCAGACAAATTATTTGCAAGCTTCCAGGCACACTCACCCTTTATTAGGCATAGGAGAGAGCAGAGATTGTAAAAGTTCTCCTAGGTTGAAATAAAAATTCATATTTTATGAGGATAAAAAGTAAATTTCTTGACACACCTAAATAGCTGTAAATCTGAAGAGGTTTGATCATGGTTTGACAACTTTCCCTTTGTGCTACCATGTTTTGCTTCACTGAACACGGCAGCAGGTAGTGTCTTCTACTGGCTGGCCAGAAGACCCAGCTCAGGTCTGAGGCAGACTGGTGTTGGGACCTGGCTGTCACTTTTTTTTTTAAATCTCTGATCCTTGCCATGACATGACACAGGCAGGGTTCCCTGCCACATGGCTGCCCAGCCATGGCAGTGCAGATAAAGCCCATCAACACTGCCAGAGCCCCAGCTCTGTGGGCCCCGATCCAATGGCTCTGGGACAGATTTGGCCTGCAGGTCGTAGGCTGTCATCCCAAGGTCTAACATTAAACGGTATAGAAACATACTGGAATTCGAGGAGACTTAAAAGAGGGTAGAGTCCTCTGCTTTAAAACATATTCCACAAGTTTGCTGCAAACTTGGACCTTCGGATTCAAGTATACACTGGAAACCCACAGGCTCCTTTCTTATATTGGGATATGATTGAATGAAACCATAGTCATGTTATGTAGGTGTAAACTTGGACTGGCTTAAGAGAAATCTGTAGTTACTCCAGATTTATTCAGAAGTACAGAGCTTGATTTGGCTGAGAAGGCCTTGTTGTAAACCCCAAGTAATTTACCAAGTACATTTTGAAGTGAAGCATGTTGATTTCTTCTTTTAGGTTCCACCCCCCCCCCCCC